ACCGCTGATGTAGCCTATTGTAGTAATGTTGTCTCTGGTACTCTGGTCTGTGAGTGAGTGTATATGCATTCAGGGGGCGTGGCTTTGGACGGCGATTGCAGGGAGGGTGGGACATTCGCTTTCAGTGCTATCAAGCTAAAGTTAGCTTTTTCCAAGATCTCCTATTGCGCCTTTAATACTGTCTAGTTTGAGGAGACAAATGAACTGGAAATAAATTTACTGCACAAAGAATTTCTGTGATAATTTAGCACCTCATCCTTTCAAATTCAAATGAGTTTTCTGTTTGAGCTCTCAAGTGCAACTGATTGCATAACACTTCTTTTTTAAATTTGTCTTTGTTTCAAAAAAAAGAAGAAGACTCACATACACTCGACACATTAGGGTTGATTTTCTTCACGGTTTTCTTTTGAATGAGAACGTGACTGAATGACAGAGGTGTAAAGTATTGGAGTAAATGTAATTAGTTACTGTACTTGAGTATCTTTTCGGGTACTTTGTAGTTGTACTGAGTATCAAAGATATTAGCAACTTTTACTCTTTACTTCACTACATTTTTGAATGAGTATCTGTACTCTTTACTCCACTACATTTGAAATGAGTGTTGCAGTTACACATTACATTTTGCATGGACCTAGCTTTTTCTGCAGCAGTTTATTTATGCTACAAAAGACGTGATATTGCCTATTACAGGTCACTGAACTTTTGGTTTTAGAAAATAAATGTGATTGCTCTCCTCACAAATCAACTCTTTCTTTTTTTGTTTCATGCTCTCTGTGCCTTGCCCTGGACTTTTATGTCACTTCCTGTCTCCCGTGGTGTTTGTAGTCAATTTGTAGTCCGTTTGTTCATTGGTTCCCCTTGATTAGTCTCCCCAGGTGTGTCTTATCTTGTTAAGCTTGTTATTCCCCTGTGTGTATATATAGCCCTAGTTTTTCTTTAGTTCCTTGTGAGTTGTTGAATGTAACGGTTGTCTGTTTGCCAGTCATTCTGTTTTTTGTTCCCTTTGGTTTTTGGCTTACTGTTTGTTCTAGTTTTTCCATTAAATACCTGCCTCTGCCTGTTTTCTGCAGCTTCTCCACAACGTTACAGTTTTTGATTGGCGTGTCTCTTTGACTAGTGCATCTCTGAGCCTATATTTAGTATAAGTAAAATACTTAAGTACTGTTAATATCAGATAATCCAAGACTTTTACTCAAGTTGTTTTGGAATTGGTGACTTGTAACATGTAGTGGAGTAATTTTCACTGTAAGCTATCTGTACTTTTACTCAAATATGGTTTTTAGGTACTCTTTACACCTCTGCTGAATGAAATTAAAAGAGGAGTCAACTTAAGCTTTCAGTGTTGCACAGAAGAAAACAAAGAAAGGACAGCAGAGAGATATAGAGGAGAGCCGCTGTTTCTTTTGAGTGACAGTGACATTGACACTAACAGACATCAAAGCGATGATGTCATGTCCCCTAAACTCGACCTGGCTGTCACCATGGTAATGAGTGGCGGCACAACATTACCAATTGTTACTGAAGTGCACTAGAATACATGACGTTCGCTTCAATTTCTCACGTATCTCTTTTAGTCAAACGAAACTCAAATTGAGAGTTAATTGGACTCTGTATCTGAATTCCTGTCTTATGAGATAGCAGAGGAGAGAAAAGCATTTTCAAACGGGGATGCGTTAGATCGGGAGAGGATGGGGTTGGTATTGATGGGGGGGGGAGAAGCAAGGAGGGTCTAAGTGCTTTGCACATTAATGTGTATGAAATTAAAACTGGATTGTTATCCTCTCAATTAATTAAAGGCCATTAGAGACTAATAGGGCCGAGTCTCATTATTTCAGCCTAGCACTCTTAACCAACTGCTTACTGAGCAGAAAGAAAACAAGTTACAGGTTTTGATGGAGAGACAGAAATTGATGGATAATTGGTTTGGTACAAATAACATGTGAGAAAGAGCACCAGGAGAAGAGAAGTAAGGTATGGGAAGACCAGAGCCACTAGGTGAACAGAAAACAGCAAGCAGATTGGAATGACTAAGTGGCATTAAAGCACTAAACACATATTACTTGTGTGTTTTTTTCAATATCAATGAATACATTAGCATGCGCTACAGTCTATACCAGTAATCAGTACATGTACAGTTTTGTGTCTAAAAGTATTATAAAATCAAAAGTTGACATATGCGTGTATACAAATAAAATTATGTGTGTGTGTGTGTGTGTGTGTGTGTGTATAAATATGTATGAAAAGCAATATGCAAATTATGTATAGAATTTTATAAATATAATTATATTTTGAACACAATATATATTTATGAAAAATTTAATTAAAATGACATATTTTTAATAGTTTCTCATAAATAAGAAACATATAAATATAGCCTACAGGCTACCTATGTGTATAAATTATAATATAATATTAGTGTATAATTAAATGAATTGCAAATTCATACATAACACATCAATTTGGGATGAGACGTTACCCCCCAAATAATTTAATTCATTGTTGTGTAAAATGAGAAAAACATTTAATAGACAAAAAAATAAGTTATTTCAACCTAGAAAATATAATTTTTAAAAATAAATGATAGGCTACTCTAAATATTCCCGATCACGCCCCTATCTCTCTCCCACTTCGCTTCCAAAGAAATCAGTCAGAATCTGATCTGTCCTATCATAATAAATGCAAAAATGCCAATATATATATATATATATATATATATATATATATATATGATGAGTTCAGATGCAAAAGCCTCTAAATGCCGTCTGAAATTTTCTTCTAAAATTAGCATTTTTATCAGGCTCCTATATTTATGTTCAGTTATTTCACTTTAATTGCATAGAAAATCACCTATACATTGCCATTAGAGTAAAATTACTGAACCTGGAATAGGAGCTTGATAAAAATGCTAATTTTAGATGAAAATTTCAGACTGCATTTAGAGGCTTTTGCATCTGAGCTCTTCATATGACTTTCAGACGAACCACAGTCATATATATATATATATATGTATGTATATATATATATATATATATATATGAAACTAAAACCGCCAGTAGGTGACAGTAATTCATTCAGTCGTTTATTCAATCAATTAACGATTCTGATTATTCTAATCGATTCTGATTCATTCAGAAATTAAGCAAATTAATCTTTATGAATGGTTCACTAAATCACTCGATTCATTCAAAAATGCGAATTCATTCTGTAACGAAACACCGCTGTTTGTTGTTCAGAGACACAAAAACAGATTATTAAATCTAAAACGTAACACAATATTGAACTGTTGCATAAAATCAATATCACATTTGCAATTGTGCAGATATTCGGGAAAACAGCACTTTTCTACAATGTAGTGGCTAATACAAAAACAGGGTGCTGAGACCCCCTGAGGAGCGGACACACTCTTTCACATGTGAGTCACATACAAAAAAAAGGAATATAAAGGAAGACTAACAGGCATTACCATATAATGAGAAATATGGTGACAGGCACATTAGCACATTGACCTGCAGATTGTGAGGGATCAAGTGTGCTATGTCTAAACACGCACTCTCATACACACAAGTGCTGACCCAAGTGGTCTCATGCATGATTGCATACACATACACTCTCACACCAGTTGACAGTCGCGCGGTCTCCACCACACAGTCTTACTGCAACAGCAGGGGCCTGCCAGATGTTCAAACCAAAGAGACATTCATACAAATGCACGAACAAGCACACAAACACACACTTGCGCACCTGCATGTCTGACATAGGGAGCAGAGTTTCTGACTCTACGGGCACTCTTTGCACCCATCCGTCTTCACTTACACACACACATACACACACATGCACCATGAGGAGAGGTAGACTATGGTCTCTGTGGTCTCTTTTGGAATTTCCAAAGGCTTGTTGCCAGGCAACAAGAGGAGCTTCTCTACTCGTAGCGATACGATGGAGGGAAATGGATTGAGAGATGAAGGGGGTGAACAATACTTTAAAATGTAATTTTAAAAGTACTCCACAAAGTTACTGATACTCTCTTACATCTATTTTTAATAAACTTCGTCTATTTTAATTCACCCATTTGCCATTTGGAAATTAAGTCCAGTACCGAATGTAATAGTTGATCCAAAAATGAAAATTTTACATTTTCATTACATTTACTCACTTTATTTATTTCATGATGTAGATGAGTTTAATTCTTCATTGGAGCAGATTTGGAGAAATTTAGCATTACAACACTTGATCACAATTGATCCTCTGCAGTGAATGGGTGCCGTCAGAATGAGAGTCCAAATAGCTGATAAAAATATAACAATAATCCACAAGTAATCCACACAACTACAGTCCATCAGTTAACAGTTTTTGAAGTAAAAAGCTGCATTTTTGTAAGAAACAAATTTAACATGAAAGTGTTTTAACTTTAAACTGCTATAAAAGTATACTCATAATCCATAATAATACTTCCTCCAGTGGAAAAAGTCCATCACCTTTTAAATGGTGCTTGATCTGTGCATGTTTATCTCCTGATTCAGGTGAAACAACTTTTGATTTGAGAAAACAATATTATGGATAGAGGAATATTTTTTGCTGGAAGCAATGTAATGATGAATTTTCTTATTACAAACATGCAGATTTTCACTTCACAAGATGTTAATTGATGGACTTGAATTGTGTGGATTACTGTGATGTTTTTATCAGCTGTTTGGACTCTCGTTCTGACGGCACCCATTCACTGCAGAGGATCCATTAGTGAGCAAGTGATGTAATTCTACATTTCTCCAAATCTGTTCTGATGAAGAAGCAAACTCATCTACATCTAGGATGGCCTGAGGTAGTACATTTTCAGCGAATTTTCATCCTTGGGTGAATTATTCTTTAAAGTAAAACTACAATTATGAGTACCTCACGTGGATTATTTCAACAATATACTTTTTTGGAAACATTCTTATATATGTGCATTCACAGACCAAGACTGTGTTGCATGTTAACATTTCTGCATGAAAATGTCTAACCATATTGTTCAGGTGATTATGGGAAAGGAAGAAAAAGCGGATTGCACTGCTGCTGTGTGTCTGTGGGAGAATGACATAAATGGATTATCTTGTGTTTTGGTACAAGCAAAGTGCAAGGGGGAGGTGTAGAGGAAACAATTTCTGTCCTTCCAGTGTATGTGTACGTAGCAAGATGAATATGAAGTTGTATAACTGCTCTTAAATACGAGTATAATTTCCATCCCTCTCAAACTTATATTTTTGTATGTATATTTCAGACAGTTTTGCATATTGTCTTAGTGAATATTACTTGCTGAGTGCTGCTACCTTAAAGGTATAATTTTATTGTGAAACACAAGATATTCCAACATTTCAATATGTTGCATATTAATCTTGCATTGTTTCCTTATTGTTGTTCAGTGATTTTTATTTTTTTTGGTTGCTTATATCCCACAGTAAACCTCTCTGAGCCTTTAGGCTGCAGCTCTTTACTCTTGACCTTCACGTGGTGATATGATGCAACGCACGTTTGGAAAGAGAAAAGGAGTTCAAATCTGATCAACCTACAGATTCCCGTGACCTACTGACTGATCAAATTTTAATCTAATGCTTTGGTTTTGTGTGCATATCTCTACATGTTAGCCTAATATAGATCTTTCAACATTTATGGACTCCATTTAACTCATACAACTCACAATAAGCATAACTTCTTTTTTAATTTCGTATTTCTTTTCAGTTTCTTTTCAGTTCATGTTTATTAAACAGTTGCTGTTATGCAGCCTGGATTGTGCATCCTGTGAGTATGAGTTAATTTAATTGTTCTTTTCAGTGTCCAATTACCAAATACTTGACCTGATATGAAGAATATTGTTTATGAAATATGTTATGAAGTACAGTATATGTACTGCAAAAAGCTCGCATAAAAACATTGTGCCGGTGTAGTGGTTGCATTTGTTTATTCCACTTCTCGCTCCTGTTGAAAAGGCTACTAAAGACAGTCATATTTGCTTTGAACTGCTCCCTATAGTCCACATGCTTTTCAAAACGCTCTTACATGAGATACTTGGTGCTTCTAGATAATCATCTGTGCAAAATTCATTTCCACGTCTCGTGTTCAGCTCCACATCTCTTTACTGCTTCACTACTGCCCTCTTTCTGTGTTGCTCTGTGAGGGTTTTATGTTGCTGTGACAGATCGTTTTCAACTACATTGTGACTTTAATGTCAAACACATGACAGACTAAATGTGACCCTGGACCACAAAACCAGCCATAAGTAGCACAAGTATATCTGGGGTGTATTCCAGAAAGGAGGTTCAACAAACTCTGAGTTAAAACTTGAACTCTGAGTTGACTTACCCTGAGATTGGAAACTCTTGAGTTTTCGGTTTCTGAACAGCTGATCAGAGTTAGTTCAATCCACTCTGAGTATGTTAACTCTGAGTTTAGTGCGTGCACCACGACTATGAAAAGCTATGATCAATGGAGCTCCGAAATTACGATTCACCATGGCAACAGCTCCTGCCAAAAAGACTAATTCTAAATCAATGTTATCGGAGGTGAAAACTGGCAGAAAGGTAATTTATTGAACTAATATTCATTTTCATGGTATCCCACGGGCAAAAAAAAGAAAAGAAAAGAAATGTGGCAGCAGGAAAAAATCAGGTAAAGCTTCAAGCGTAAAATGGATGTAGGCTAACGTTACATGACTTTACAAATATTTGTCATTCAATAAATATCATTCAGTGTATATCTATTTCAATGTGCAGCAGCTTTCCCCACATAGTCTAATGCTTTTTCACATAATTAAATGCTCTATAATCCAACATGCTATTTCTTATTTTTTATTATAAACATTTGACTTCTATTCAGAAGCCAACAGCAAGAAGGCAGAGACTCGTAAAATGGGAGGATAACCTGCACCAGCATCACTGACAGATGAAGAGGAGATTGCCACAATACCAATATTAAAATCCAACAGGGAAAATAATAATTTGTTGCTTTTGTATTTGTAGAACATAAAGATGATCAAATAAATTGTGAATAATTTGTGTTCATTTAACAGCTGTGGTGGTGGTTATATACTGTATCTTGCACTATCTGGCATCCTTCCATTCCATACAGTACTCAGCTTCATTTTCAGAATATGTGTGTAATCAATGCATCCAACCACACTGGAAATCCTAAAGGAAATTCTAATTATTAGGTTACTTAGAGGTCGCAAAAAGATGTTATCAAGTGAACGCCAAAATGCGGTACCGTTCCAATAAATATGCATGTGGATATGGCAAAATAAATTAATTAGATCAAATTTAATTAAATCCTCTCCTGATGTAAATGTAACTCTCCGCGAATTAATGCATCTTACAGGATCCTTTATAAAAAAGACATGCCATTTTTGTCACATTTACCGTGCCTGCATGATGAAAATGAAAGTGGTAAGAAAAATAATCTTGTTTCCATTTTCATTAAGATAATTTTTCTTACCCCGCTGGCAATTAATTTTACTTGTTTACCCCAGGAAACGAGACTAAATATCGTATATATTTTTTCTTATATAGAAAATGCATCATGATTTAAGAATTTTTTAGATATTTTAACTTGAAATAAGGCAAAAATCCTGTAGGCAATAACCAACAATACATTGTATGAGTCAAAATGATTGATTTTTCTTTTATGCCAAAAATCATTAGGATATTAAGTAAAGATCATGTTCCATGAAGATATTTTGTAAATTTCCTACTGTAAATATATCAAAACTTCATTTTTGATTAGTAATATGCATTGCTAAGAACTTCATTTGGACAACTTTAAAGGCGATTTTCTCAATATTTTGATTTTTTTGCACCCTCAGATTCCAGATTTTCAAATAGGCCTAGTTGTATCTCAGCCAAATATTGTCCTATCCTAACAAACCACCAATACATCCAAACAATACATCAATAGCAAAACAAACAAACAATACATCAATGGAAAGCAAATTTTTTCACTTATATGTATAAATCTCAATTTTAAAAAATTGACCCTTATGGCTGGTTTTGTGGTCCAGGGTCACAAATAGATTAACAGTATACTGGGTCATTTGGAGCACTTCATACCACTTTGAAATGCGTGTTGATGCACTAAATTCTTTAGGAGGTATGGGAGATTATAATCCAAACATTTCATAAATGCCACTCAAAATGTGTGGTTGCGCTTACGTTATTGTGCATCAATCAGAAAACAAGTCGATGTAGTTAACTGTGTAAATGCTTAAATCCCACAGCATGCCACATACAAAAACTAGCGATAATATAAGTATTTTTACATTTTTTTAAAGAAACAATTTTTTTATCATTTGAGAAATGCGGTTCATGTAATGTTTATTGATGAAAATTGCTTAAAAAAATAGGGATATGTAATGTTCTATTTGTGATTTAAAACAATATAGGCCTAAACTTATTTATTTTACTTAAATCGTCAATGGAGGGCGTCAAAGAAATCTCAGATCAAATTTTGATGGAAAAAGTGGTCTTTATTAAAAGAAGAGAACTTTTAAAATGTCATACAAAAAAAAAACCAAACATGGTCAAAGCTTCCGTTTAAAAGTATTCAACTTCACAAGCATATCGGTTCCTCTGAACAGGTGCTGGATCTGCAGGGCCACCACATAGCCTACCCGGTCTCATGGAAATGCGTATAAATAGTACGCCAAATGAAAACGAAAACTCGTGGTATTGATACGCAAAAATTTACTTTGGCGTGCATATAGTGCCATATGCCTTGCGCTTTATATATATATTTTTACATTTGACCTTATTTGTATATTTGTATAGTTGTATTTTGAATTTAATCTGTATTTATGTTATCTGTATGCACCCAAGGGTCTGAGAGTAACGCAATTTCAATTCTCTGTGTGTATGTCCTGTACATGTGGAAGAATTGACAATAAAGCAGACTTGAACTTGGACTTGAATATGATACGCAGTTTTCGCGTAGCCTACATATACGCATCTACCCCACAACCCTAAACCTACCCATCGCGTAGCATACGCCAAAGTCCATTTTTGCGTATATCAATACCACGAGTTTTCGTTTTTATTTGGCGTACTATTTATACGCACTTTCATGAGATCGGGTTGACACAAGAGCGGTGTGTCTGACAAAACTGCGCTTCACGAGTCAGGCTTCTCGCCCTGAGGCGGATCCCGCTGCAGCGCAGCGCCCGTTTCCCGCAGAGACACCTGTGGTCGGTTGCCATGATAGCCGTCCGATTCAATCTACAAGACAAGCATGATTGTTCAATTAACATGTTTTTTATTCTCAGTGTTAATCTATAGTAGTAAACATTTGAAGTGGATTAAATCCTTTCATCAAAGTTGTCCTAAAACCAAAACAATACAGACAACCTTGATGAACTTTTTTGAACCACTTCAAATGTTGACTATACTGTAGAAAGAAGGTGTTTTACACACCTCTTCTGTGTCACTCTTTGGACTTCTTCTCAGCATTCTGGAGCTTCGCCACTATTTTGCGCTCGTGTCCCGCAGGGTTGTGTTTGTTCGTGTTACAGCTCGCCTCCTTCTTCGTCCTGCCCTTGCGACTAGCGCACTCTGTAGTCAACACACACACACACACACACACACACAAGCAGGTCAGTAGGCAAACTAGACATTATGGAGAACGCCGATAATGAACGAAAGCTCTTTAGAAAGTAATTCGTGTTGCCAGATCCACAGAAAAGCTGTCATGGCAACACTGTGGCTACACAACTCCCAAAAATACTTTACTTTTTAAAAACATTTTATAGATCAGCCTAATAATAATAATAATAATAATAATAATAATAATGAAGCGTTTTAAAAAACCTACCGGTATAACGGTCTGTTAAGTTATAATATTCATATTCATCGTAGTAGCGGTCCTCAAAAGTGGTCGGCTCAATGTTTTTCACGTCAACGTGGTTGCTCATTTTGTCAGCGATTTGCGAAACTTCTGGAGTAACAGCGGATAAACACAAGGAGCAGTTGTGCAAAAAATATGCGATGTTCAGTTATAGATGTGTTTCTAAAAGTCCTCTTTCTTGTCCTCGGTTCAGCGTTGTTTACAAGCCTGCGAGTTACCTTCTTTTAAAGACGTGGCTCCGCCTTGGTTCCTCAGCTCCCCGCCTATGGATGGGTCAACACGACCAGAAGGAAAGTTGCATCAGATGTGAGTTAATGTTTTATCAGCATACTTCACCGACTGCCAGACAGGATGTCCTTCAGAGCAGATGACAGTGTTTTTGTTTTGACTTACACTTTTGTTTCATATTTTCACTTGATATGGATCTCAAACTTAGGCCTAACTGTCTGTTCATGCTGTTCTTTTTTCATTTCAGGAAGACAAAACAACACATTTTAAACATTTCAATTAGTCTAATATTTCTGTTTTCATTAGCTAACTCTCTTTCTCCCTCAGTCTGATCGTGTTTACTTATATCTGATAAAGATTTGAAAGATTAGATTAATTTAGTTAATGTTTGTCTCTCTCTTATTTACACCCGACGTCCCCCGGTGGACTGTGACCCACTAACCTCCTCTATTTTAAAGAAAATATTGTCTTTAGAGAGTGCGAGGCTCATTTCAATAGCCTTTTGTGTGAATGTCTATTTTCAGACTAAAAGGTTTGCTTATTCACTGTTGGAGATCTACTCCAGACGATTAGTTTGTCAAAACAGGGTACTGTATTATATAATTTGACCGACTATTATAGGAACTTGTCTTTGAATTGCACCTGCTGGAAACTATAGCAGAAGAAATTTTGTTTTTACTGCAGTGTGAGTTTGGCTACATTCACAATGTCTTAACCTTTCTAATTCAGTTTATTCTGTGTGTCATTGCTGCTTGCGCGCCTAATAGCTGTACAAACTCATTGAATGTGTGTGTAATCAAGCATGACAAAATGCACTATGGTGGCTACTGTCATCAGCATAGAGGATCATATGATGCAATCTGCCACAACTGGCAAAATCCACATCCTCCACTGGCAAAGCGAAGCCCAATCCATCATTCAAGATTCACTGCAGTCCGGCCACAAGCTGTTTTGTTCCTTGCCGTCGGGCAGTCATTATTGCACCATCAAAGCAAAGACTAGCAGACGAAAGCTTCCACCCTATAGCAGTTCATAGACTAAATAACATTTTCAGGACATGTTCAAGGTTAAACTGGTTGAGATGATCTCTTCTCTTTACCTGTATTTTAAATTGGTTTAATTTGAGCTCCTGAACATGAGTAGTTCCCCTGTGTGTTCTTTTGTTGTTGTTTTTGTTTTGTTGCGCGCGCGCGCGCGTGTGTGTGTTTTATAAATGTTAATTTTGTGTATGTATCAATGCATGGATGTGTGTATATGTATTTGATATATATTTCCCTTTGGTCTTGTGATGTTGTTCTTTTTGTTTAATAAACATTTGATCACAAAAAAAGGTTTTCTGCTGGTTAGCATGGCCCTATGGTCCCTGCTGATGCCATATACAAGATTCTGAAGGCAAAAAGCATTTGTTCCCCCATTAAAAGCCATTCAAAAGGAATTAATACTTATAAATTACATTTTCTATTCATCAAAGAATTGTAAATAATGGCTGATGAAAATTCTGTTTAGGAATAGATTGCATTATAAATACATTAAAATTTGAAAACAGTTATTTTAGATTGTAATGATATTTCACAATAACTGTAAAACAGTTATTGATCAAATAAATGCAGTCTTAAAAAGCAATTTACACAAATTCACCCATATATTTTACAAGACTGACTATTTTAGTTTTTCTGTTTCAAAATGTTTAATTCAGTGTGTTATTTGCGGTTTCTTTGTAATTATTTGTTTATTTGCTGTTTCTTTGTAATCATTACAAATTACTAGCAATTTCTGAGTGAAAATTGTTTCAAATCCTACACCATTTTTTTCTATACTATATATTTTTATAATCTCTCTTGTCTATTATTAAGCAGTTTGTGTTTAATGTATTTGTTGTTTTACTTTTTTCCCCAGCATGCTCTTATTTTGCACTCCATTGTACAAGCGCATATGGCCATAAAGTTCTCTACTCATTACAATGGAATTTGGCAGAGGTCTGTATGTTGACTGCTATGGATATTTTTGGGTGATGTAGTTTACAGTAAGACTGCTGTGGTTCTGTGCTGTTGTAATGACAGAGGAAGAGCACAAGAGATTCAGTTTTTCTACTGCACTCAAATATTCCACGACTTAGTCTTGTGTACATGAACACATGAGCTACGTGAGAAATGAGGGAGGTTAGAGATTACAGAATTTGTTTATTTCTTCTTCCAGAGCCATAAACAATCCTGAGATAGCACATGAGTAGAACACACTGCACCACAATGTTTTTTCCCTCTTTTTATCTGTAGCTCTCTAACCATAGTGCTCTAGTTCTTAATCTGAGTTGATTCTATGTTTTCTCAAATAAAACAAAACCTTTCTTCTCCCTAATCTCTTTCATTTTATGCTCTGTTTTGGTACACATTCTTCTCTTTTCCTTTCCCTCTTTAGCCTTCACTGTTTGCCTTGGCTCTCAAACTGATATCATGTGAGAATGGGGTGTTCTGTAGAGTAAATATTTACAAAGTTATTGGCTGAGCCAATATGCATTCAGCTATGAAAACATAACAAATCTCTCTGCTTTTCACCATCCTTCTTGCCCAGATCAGGATTTCTTTGCTAGATAAACCACAGCTTATCGCCGTCTGTCTGTTTTGCTTTTCGCCATGCTTACCAGTGTCTCTGTTGAAAATTAACTCCATATTATCTCATCATTCACAGCCTTTGGACACAGTAGAGTTCAGGTCAGATATATGAGGGCTTATTACTGTCTGAATGATCTACTGTCTCTTTTATTTAATCTTTGACAGTTGCTTCCCCCCCCCCCCCATATGGTCTCTTTATGTGCCATGCATTTAAATTTACGCCCTGTTGCTTTCACTATATGATGATAGTACTTTGTCAAAGTTAATTTAGGTATTAAAACATGAATAGCACCAGCTAAGCAAGAAACAAAGAATTTTAACCCTCCACAAAACCTATATACACATGAATGGTTCTTAAAATAAACACTGTTAAGATAGGGACATTTTTTTCTAAACAAAAATCAATCAAAAAGGCCTTTAAATGTACAATAGCTATAAATACATTAATGTGACATAATAATAGGACAATAATAAAACATCAAATGTTTAAGCATATATTTTAATAGTCTATAAAAACAAAACAATATTTAAAATCAAGAACCCCCAAAACAACCCAATTAATGACAGAAATGTATGCACCTAATCCTAACCCTTACACCAAACTAGCCAAATATGTAGGTTAGTGTTGTGATAGTGACGATAATGCTAAAGATAACTCATGATGATTCTCTTTTGTGGCACATTAATTATATCATTATCTTTTGATTATACAGGTGCATCTCAAAAAATTAGAATATCATGAAAAAGTTATTTTTGTGTAACTTATTTCAAAAAGTGAAACTTTCATATATTCTAGATTCATTACATGTAAAGTAAAACATTTCAAAAGTTTTTTTGTTTTAATTTTGATGGTTAGAGCTTACAGCTCATGAAAGTCAAAAATGCAGTGTCTCAAAATATTAGAATATTTCCTAAGATCAATAAAAAAAAGGATTTGCAAAACAGAAAAGTTCAAGTTCTTTAAAGTATATTCATTTATGCACTCAATACTTGGTCGGGACTCCTTTAGCACAAACTCCAGCATCAGTGAGGTGTGGCATGGAAGCGATCAGCCTGTGGCACTGCTGAGGCACTGCTGAGGCACTATTGAGCCTTCAGCTCGGATCGACTGTTTCTCATCTTTCTCTTGAAAATATCCCATAGATTCCATATGGGGTTCAGATCAGGCATGTTGGCTGGCCAATCAAGCACAGTAATATCATGGTCAGCAAACCACTTGGAAGTGGTTTTGGCACTGTGGAGTGGGCATGTGCTAAAGTCCTGCTGGAAAAGGAAATCAGCATCTCCATAAAGCTTGTCAGCAGATGGAAACATAAAGTGCTCCAAAATCTCCTGGTAGACGGCCACATTGACTTTGGACTTGATAAAACACAATAGACCAACACCAGCAGACGTCAAGGCACCCCAAATCATCACTGACTTCGGAAACTTCACACTGGACTTCAAGCAGCTTGGATTCTGTGCCTCTCCAGCAGGGCCGTTTCTAGCCAATTTGACACCCTAGGCTTTTCAGACACCAGTTGCTTTTCACATTCAAATTGGTTGTCATAGTAACGACACTAATTTGTGGAGATTCAGAGCATTGAGTTCCACAAATCTGAATGCATTATTTGTAAATTGACTGTTAAGATAAACATTTTGCACAATTTAGTATCTGTAATATCATTGTGTTGCCACTAGATGCCTGTATAGCCCTATGTAACAATCCCTAGTGGCTAAGACATTGCACATAATTTACACATAAATATTTTTTTGTTGTTGTTTCTTGAAACATTGATTTAAAGTGTCAGTTATTGCATTATTATTTCAGTCAAACCTATAAAACCACTTTGTTACCCCAAACTACATATAAAAGCTTTATCAGTGGCATAAAAGTAACCAATGCAGCTACTTAATCATTTGCTACTCTTAACGCGTTAACGTTCCCTTTAAATAACGTGATGCTCTGCCCTCTATGACG